ACTTGGCCAGTCTGCAGCTGGTTGCAAACATCATTTTGCAAAGATGACTCAGATGCAACAAGGTTCCCTCCATAGAAGCCAATGGGAGCTGGAAGATGGTTGCATCTCCAGGCTGGGTCTTTTGAGGATAATTCTATGGATTTCATCACTGTGCGGCGTGTAGGATTTCTCTATAGGGGTGTTGTCTCAGGCTTTCCCAGAAGCAGGGACGTCCCTGCCCACTTCAGCCCGTGGCTGCTTTGCACTTGTGCTTCYCTTGCAGGGATATATTTAGATTTTACCCAAGGGCTTTTAATTTCCTCACTGACTTGAGCCACCGTGACAGCTCTCCAGGTATGTTCCCATTCCCCCTCCAGCCTCTTAAACCTGCCTCTGCTCCAGCTGGAGGAGATCACGGGTCACTGCAAAGCTCCGGATCGCGGTGCTTTAGCTGCCAGTGCAAACCAAGTGCCAAAGGAAGGGAGATGGGTGCCTGTGGTGCCATGGCTGGTGGGGATATTCATGGAGCATCTGCTTGGTATCTGCTCTGTTTCTTTTTCGGAAAGACGTCACGTCTCAGCCCCGAGCTAACGGGCTGCTTTTGCAGCTCGCGCGTTCGCCGCCGAGCCACACTTTGTGGGTAAAAATGGGCTTGCAAAGGCAGCRATGACAGTTCTGGGATTCGGCACGGCTCGCGGCTCCGTTACRTAAGCCCTTCCCGCCGGCGCTCCGCGCTGCCGGGGCCGGCGCGGGGAGGAGCGGGGCCGCGTCGCTCGCCGGCCGCGGGCGCCTCGTGGGGCCCACGCGAGCCGCGGGCGTGCGGCATGCCTAGAATTGTGCCGTGGTTTGATGCCACGACTTGACCCCCTGGGCCACGGCATCAAATGGTAGCTAACCCCCTGATCTGGAGAGGAGCAAACTCGTGGCCACAAAGCCCTGGGTTTTGTACGGGAGATGTTCTCTCAAGCCCCAAATGTTCCTAATGTTCACATTTGGAAGGGATCCCGTTGAAGTATTAATGCAGAGAGCTCGGGGAATAGTGGGGAAATCAAAGGCTCTTCTGCTGCCGGGTGCGCTGTCCCCCCAGCTCACGTCTCGCTTGCAGCTCTGTGAGTGTTTAGTTACTTTACATAATTAGTCCATCCCGCTCTTCAAAGGCTCCCTTCTCTCCCCATCCCATCGCTGCTGCAGCGCAATGAGGCCGTAAACTTTAATAAACTTCTGCCGAGTCATTAAGGCTCTTYTTCCCCTTTCCTCCTCTGGCCTCCTCTTCATCTCCCAGGCATCACGGCCCTGCTCAGCCTGCAGGGAAAGGGCCGAGTTCTCCCCTTCTGCGTGTGCAGAGGCTCCGTTTTGGTGGGGACCCCTCTGGGTGCCGGCAATGCAGATGATCTGGAATAATAATCCTCCACAGGCCAGGAATGCAGCAATGGAGGTCCCAGAAATGCCTCTTCCCGGTGCCACCCTGGTGCTCGCAGCTCATTGCTGGCCGTGGGAATGATGATGCCACAACAGGGATGCACTCAAAGGATGCGGGACTCCTGCAGCACCTTCCCAATATCTGCAGCGAGCTCCTCCTTGGAGCTGCGGCCTGCAGGCTCCCGGGATGAGGGGAGGTCGGGATGAGCTGGCACAAGCTCCGTGTGTGCTGAAGTACAAAYGGGGCTCACAAGTATTTTAGCTTGCAAAACGGCGTGTTTTGGTTGACGTGGGGCTGCAGGTTGGGCTCCCTGGGGCAGGCGCTGCCCCTGGAGACCCGCGAGCCGTAAGCAGCTGGTTTGTGCTTGTCATCGATTCCGAGCTGATGCCGGCAGTGCACGCTAAGCATTTTTATTAATAACCCGTCCTCGCTGTGCCGAGAGGCTTCCCAGCATCTCCAGTGCAGCTCCGCTACCTCCACGGCTCTGAAGGAATCCAGGTACTGGTGTTCTCTCCTGTGAAAGCATCAGAGCTCATTGCATCCAGGCCTGTAATTTTGCATCCATCTGTGGCACAGGGTTAGTCACGAATACAGCAGGTCCATCTGCCGCGTGGGAAAAGGGCCCTGCAGGTGGGAGCCCCAGGCCTGTGTTACTGGAGCCACCTGCACTAAACCATCCATGTCGTGGTGTCAAATTTGTAGTGTTTTGGGTGCAAAACCAGCCATGTGCCCCCAGAGGAGGCTGCAGTGATGGCAAAATCATAGGCAGGCTCCAAAGCTTTCCTGCAAAACATGCRCTCCTGCTCCAAGGAGCTCTTCCCAGCTGCTTGTGGTACCTGTACAGGGCACACGTGCGTTTCAGGGAGACTTCCAAAGATGTTTCAAGATCCTGTGCCTGCTTTTACTGCAGCGYTTCTTTGCAGGCTAAAGCTTTTGGGTCATATCTCATTGTAACAAGTTTGTTTGTCAGAAAAATGTAAAATATGATAATAAAAAATACCTTCCTGTTTCATCAGCTGGTTATAACAGGCTCAATCACACTGTATTAATTATGAATAAGTGCATGAAAGGAGTTTTGGCAGCGAGGATTGAAAGGTACCTAGATAAAAGGAAAATATTTAATGGAGCARTTGCTGTAGATTCCACTAGAAATAATGAAAGATTAGTTTCATTTTACATCACATTTTCAGAGACATTATTACCCATAGCACAGTGGTGCCTCGGTGTAACGTGGATGCTTTGGTGAGGAATCAGCACAGGGCAGTGGGTGCAATGGTGAAGATCAAGTGGTGATTCCTGGGAGTGCTCCCAGGCCCCAGGGATTTACTTTTGGACTTTGATGCAAAAGAATTGATGTTTTGTCATTTTTTTTTTGTTTTTATTATTTTCCTCCCCCACTCTTTGTCATTCTTTGAAGATCTCTTCTGCTCCTGAAGTTGCAGTTAAGCTGCAGCTTAAGTGTGCTCCTTGGGTCCTTTACCTCCATTTTCCAGCCCTGACTAGTGATATTTTTGTATTATTTTGCCCCAAAGAGGTTTTCCTTGGTGTTAGTGACCCCTTTTCTCTGTCACACTGGAAATGGCCACTCTCTGCAGTGGCCCTGTAGCAGCCTCAGGCTTCCTTGGCCGTTATGGGTTGTGCCTTGCATTGTGTTTAAGTAYCTAAGAGAAGAGGTGTCTTCCTGTGGAGTTTCTTGAGGTGCTTTTGTTACCTCCTACATTAGAAGCATAGATTTATGGCAGGAGAGCTACCATTATTTTATTAAAAATCACCATGTTTTCCCATAAAACCGCTTTTGCTCCATGCTGCTGCCTGGAGGCATTAATGCCGAGGTGGTAATTTGAGCAAAAGCCCCTCCTCAAGTCAACACTCAATCCTGCAGTTAACGTTCGTCTTGAATTAGGAGTGCAGAGCAAAGCATGAGCTCCAGATAGTCCCCTAAGAGAGAGACCTGGATGTCCTAGAGTGGGCAACATGGGGAGTCTGGGTGGATTCATCAGGAATCAACAGCTGGATCTGGAGCCAGGAGCTTGCAAAGAGCCCCCAGGAGTGAAGGGGGATGAAGCAGGGAGAGGAAGAGGAGGCTGGTGCCAACCCAGCCCCAGAGCAGAAGGGAAAGGATCTTGGGGAGTGACAGCACTGACAGAGTTTGATGATTCATGTTGAGTCAAAAGGATAAATTAAATGTGTACTAAAAGCTGGCACATTAGTAAATGGGCTGTGGGTTTTTTTTATGCATTTTGTGTTTCAAAACGTTGAAATAAAATACGTCCTACAGTGAGATCCTAGTAAGAGATAAAACTCTGAGGAGAGAAATATGCTCTTGGTTAACAGGAAATGGAGACTTGCCTGTCTTCCCAGCTCAGCTGTGGGCTGTTTGTGCCYTGGGATAAGGCCCCATTGGATGGGGACTGGAGCAGGCAGAGATGGTGCTCGACGTGTGGCTGCTAGAGCAGGRGACAGGAAGGATTTGCCTTTCTCTTCCCAGGTAAATCCTGTGGCATTGGCACATGGTGATGATGTGTGGTGTTGGCTCGTGGCGATGGTGTGTGGTGATGGTGCATTGCATTGGCAAATGGTGATGGCATGCGGTGATGGCACAGGGTAGGACACTGCTGGCCTTTGTGGTGAGGCTCTATGGCCCTGATGGCCACATGGGAGGGCCCAGTGGGGTCTGTCCAGACTGTCTGTGGGTCCTGAAGGGCAGCCAYGCTCTGCAAGGTTGTGATGTGTGAGCAGATGCTCTCTCCCAAGAGCTGCCATCAAACATGAGCAGGAGAAACTGCAGCCTGGTGACATCTCAAGCAAGAGGATGGCCAGCAGGACCCCCATTGCTGTGTCCCACATGGCCATGGGTGACTCAGGACACTCTGTGTATCCCTGCCTGGCTGCTATGAATTCCCTTCCCTATTTGATATCCTAGAAATCCTCCCCAAGGGGTAACTAGGGAGCTGCAGCCCTTCTCACCAYCTGTGGAGAGGGGGACTGAGATGCTGGGGGACAGGAACTTTTGCAGGAGCCGCTTCATGTGGCCTGGCGAGCAGGGACCGACACCATCGGGGTGGGTGACTGACACYTATCAGGGACGGTGATGGCTCTGGGGGTTGTGGCAGGGGGTTCCCCTCCACGGGGCTGCTGCGAGGACGGAGCTGAGGGGACCTTGATGGCCTGCTCAGCGGGCGCCAGCCCGGCACTCGCAGCCTCCTCCCTGGCTGTGTGCGGAGGAATGAGAGAAAATAGCTTCCTCCCCCTCACCATGYTGCTGAAGAACAGGAATGGGGAAAAAATAACCCTGCAGCCCCTGCCCGGCAGCGAGAGCAACGCGATGGGGGTGCTCGAAGGGAGGCAGCGTGGGGAGCGTCTCCGAACGGAGCCGCTTTGGGCGCCGCGAGCGCGTTCGCTTTGCACCAAAAGCGCCGCCGCCGCCGCAGCAAGGCCGGCGAGTTTGCCTTGACTCCTGCCGCTACCAAAATAACCGCGGCGCGCAGGACGGGTCCGCGGCGGCGCGCGGGGAGGGCGCCCGCGCGGGGGGCGGCGCGCGGAGCGGCGCGGTGCGGAGCGGCGCGGCCGGGCGCGGGGCCGGCGATGCGCGGCGCGCGCCATGGCCCGGGCCAAGCTCCGCAGCTCGCCCGCGGAGAGCGGCGCGCGCGGCAAGACGGCGCCGCCGGCCACGCCGGACGACGGCCACGGCGTGAGCCCCTTGCTGCCGGCCCGCAGGATGGGCTCCCTGGGGAGCGACGGCGGACAGAGGTAGAGCAGGGCTGCGGGGTGGGGCGGGGGGGACGCGGTGTTGGGGGGTGATATCTAAGAGAAGGGGAGGGTTTGTGCCCATCTGGGGAGCGGCGGCGGATCAGACCCCCCCGCTAGCCGAGTACAGGGGCCACCTCGGCTGCAAAGTTGCATTATGAAATAGGCAGCGGGAGCAGATGGGAGACAGTTCCTTTGAATTTTTTATAAGGATTCCTTGCTTCTTGTATGCCCAAAACATTGCTGAGTGGCGGCCCTAAGACGGCAGGGCTGCTCCATGGCACCGCTCGCTTTTACACCTAATGCGGTGTAAAACTGGTCTTATTTCCCCTGCTAACACCCCCATGTGCGCTGTGCACAAGCACCATGGTTGTGATGGGAAGCAGAGATGTTCAATCCCCCATTTAAGGAATAATTTATTTACAACTGAAAAAAAAGGCAGCTAGCATGCAGAATGCTGCAGCCTCTCTCTGCAAGCGTACAGCTGCTGTGTGCAGAGAGAAATGAGCTGGTTTTCGGGGGGATAAAAATGCTTTGCACTTCACTTTCATTACACTGTGTTGGAATRAGACAGGTTCCCTTATTTTGATAAAGATGCATATGTCAGTAATTCAGTTTTCATACCATTTGTTTTATTTTCTGTTCCCATTTTTTTTTCAATCCACCCCTTTCCCTTCCCCATCYGTGCTCTCCTCTTTCTCTGCAAAACCTGCCTCACCTGAGTCTGTGCCATATGTCTTCTCCAATGCGATTTGGTGCCGTTTCTAGCTCAGCCTCGCAGGCAGGTTAGCACAACGGGGAAGCTTCTGCTTGCAGGGACTTTCACCTGCCTGGCTTGGAATGAGCTGGACCAGGTTTGGTATTGTCACGTAGGGCTGGGGACAGAGAGCAGCCAGGAGGGATCAGTGGGACTGTGGTCCTGCTAGGGATTAGCAGGACTGTGGTCCCAGTTGGGATAGCCGAGGGGGTGGATGAGAGCCGGAGGAGCCAAGCTGCCATGGGCACCTCACTGGYACTGTGCCGTGTTTTCCGGAGCCAATGACAGCATCACGCACGGCCATGGAGCACGTGTGGCATCCCCACGGTGTGACGAGCCAGCAAAGCCCCGCAGTTGCTTGGTTCTCCATGACTTCCCACGCTCTGTTGGTTTGCTGCTCATAGCGGTGCCAGGACACTCGGACCCAGATGTGCTGGGGCCGGAATACCCCCGGGGACATCTCCAAGTCACCTCTGGTTAGCCCAGGCTGTGAGTGGAGAGCAGGCAGCCAAGCCCTTGCTGTCAGAGCTCCTCGGCCAAGGAGGGATGYGGGAAGACTGTGCTGGATTTGGGCTGGGAGCAACTCCAAACATCACAGAGCTCCAGTGCTTCAGTGGACCCTCGCCAGGAGGCCAATTGCATGGAGCATCTCAGGGCTTTCCAAAGGGCACAGCAAGTGCTGAACCCAATTCCCTGGATTTCACGGGAATGTCAAGGGTTTTGCCACACTCCTGCAGACAAGAAGGGGCAGTGACTTGCACACTGCTGGTGAGAAGTTCAGGGTAAGGTTTTTTCTGTCGCCTTTCTCTGACACTGGGTGAAGGGCTATGCGTTCCTGCTCATGACGCTGCCCCAGTTCCTCTGCTCAGCTTTCTGACTCCTCGGCTTTCTGGTAACCGATTTGGCAAGTGAAACTTGTGCCTTTCTCTTTCACTGCCCTGCCAGGCAGCAATGGCTTCTGTGGCATCACTCCTGCAGGAATGAATGACGTGTTTGACTGCTCYGGCTCCTCCAAAGCCTCGTGCGAGCGGCACAGCGATAGCAGCAGATCCTGGGAGTCTGGAGTGAAATGGCAGGGAAAGAGTGGAAGGAAAAGATGCTCAGTTACAAGATGTTCCCTTCTTGATGAAGCCAGTCAAGTTTATTTTTGCCTGCTTTATTTCCCCATTGCTTTATCTCCTAGTCACTACAGCATTTCAAAACTTTCAGAGGTTCTAGGTCAAAACAGGAGAAGAGGGCCAGGATTTGCCTGGAAAGGATCCATGGCCACATGCTGTGCAACCTGACTGCAAAGCAAGCGGCTTGGGCTGTCCCAGGCATCCAGTGTGGTGGCTCCTGCACCGCTGGTGGCTCCCAGTGCTGCAGGGTGGCAGGTTGAGGGCTGAAGAGGAAGCTGTTGTAGGCTTAAAGTCATGTAAATGTAAGCATCTTGGTTTGGATCTCGTTCTGTGCCCTGCTGCTGCCTCTCTAGTTCCGGACATGTGGATTTAAAGAAAACATTTTTACAAGATAATCGTGTCCTGTTTATGCAGCTCTGCTGGGAAGGAGGAGAAGTTCTGGCCACTGGCAATACCAGGGCAAACAGATACTCTTCAGGGACTCTAAGTAACCCTGAAAGTATCTGGTTTTGAAGAGCTGCCCTAAAACCTGGGAGGGCCGGAGGCTGCAGCACTGCGGATCCCTTCCCTGCTGGAACCGCATCTGCAGAGCTGCCCGTGGCTGCTGGGGACATTCACCTGGCCTCATTCCTCCCCCTGCCCCCTCTTTGGTATTCCAGGTTGCTCCCTAAAAGCTGCAGGATGCCGTAAGCTTTAACCGTGCTGAGCTGAGGATTGCTGGACGCCGAGGGCTTTGTGTGGAGAGGTTGTGCTCTGGTCCTGGCTTTGGCTCTTTCTGCTGGCTCTTTCCCTGGTCTCCRGTGGATACAGAGCTAGGCAGACCTTGGGTCTCAACAGGACAATCCGGTTTCCTAACGCAGGTTCCTCAGGGAGCTTCAGGAATGGGAGGTGTTGTGCATACAGGCTGCAGCGTGGCAAAATGCTGGTACTTGAAACCCTACAAAACCATCAATTTAAAAAACCCTGAAATGCTTAGGTTTGGAGAGGACAATGAAATTTGCTCAGGTTGCCAGGGAACCTCTGAAGACCTGCAGTCCTGTCTCCTTCTCAAAGCTGGACTAACTTTAAGGTTGAATCAGGTTGTYGAGGACCTGTCGAACTGACAGCTTCCAAAGATGGGGATTCCTCAGCCTCTCTGGGTGCCCCTTTTGGTAYCCGGCTGCTCGTGGGGTGAATCAGCTCTCCAAAATCTGCTGTGCTGCAGCCTCCTGCCCTTTGTGCACAGAAGGGCTGGCTCCATCTCATCCCACAGCCTCCCATTAGACAGCTGGAGGCAGCGTTAGATCCTTCCCACCCCTTCTGCACAGACCCACCTCCCTTGTCTGTCGATTCTGGGTATTTTTGGCAGAGGAAAAAAAAAAAAAAAAGAGAGACTTTGCCTCAGTTGCGTTACTGTGAGCAACGTGGCTGGAGCCTGCTCAGCAGCCCTGCAAGGGAAACGCCGCGATCGCAGGGAGGGCTCGACCCGGCCTCCCCATCCCGGGAAGCGCTTCGGAGAGGGAGAAGAGCCCCCGGCTGTGCCTGGAAGTGCCACCCCGGCCAGCAGCGGCCGTGCCCYGAGGAGCAGCACCAGCAGCTCATGTGACATGTGTTTCCAAGGTGAAACTTTCAGAAACTCTTGCAGACAGTTGCAAAGCCATCTGGAGATGAGAATCGGTGCATTTTTGGCTGTTTTTAGTTTTCTTTAAAGACATATTCCACGTTTCCTTGGCCGTTAGACTCCCTGTGTGAATTCAGGCCTCTGCAAGCATTTAGCAGTTGTTCTTTGGGGCTCCTGCAGGAGGGTCTCACTTGGGTGTGAGAGCCAAGAGCATCTTTAGGTTGCTGTGGCACCATCGCGTGCCTCAACCAGGGCGAATGCCAGTGCAGAGCAGCGCCTGCTCCGCTATCTGCAGTCGAGCTTCTCTTGTGTTTCCTCTAATGACTTTGCTTCTGCTGGACCTGCTCTACTTGTATTTTCATCCGCCTCCCAGGGAATGGGGTCATGTCGCTTGGCGAATGAAGGATGCTTTAATATTGCGGAGCTGTCAAAGCCAAGATGCACACGAGGAACTGGCAGCAGAGCGAGCGGCAGTGGAGCCGGCGGGAGCAGGATCACATGGGAATGTCGTGTCTAGGTGGAGCAGGGGCCCTTGGGGCATTTTAATTGAACTTAGGATTTCTTGCTTGCATTGTGTTTGAAGCAGAGCACGAGGGTCTCCTGGAGCACAAAGCTAAAGAAAATGAGAAAGTTGARGAAGGCTTTTGGTGCAGATAGGCCATGTGTGCGCCGCAGTAGGGACATCCCAGCGCTTGCTTCCCCCATCACCACCCTCTGTTTGTTTTTTCTGTCTCTCTGTTCTCCTGGGTCCTTCCATTTYCTCTGCATGGAAAGCATTTCATCAATGGGGGCTCAGCATCCTTGCAGACATGCCAACCTGCATCTGCCAAACCTGCTTTCTCCATGGCAGGAGTGGAATCGATTTGGAAACATGTAGTTTGCAAGTTTTATGCTAAAAAGAACAGAAAATGCGTAAGGAAAAGTGTTTTTATCTGCAGAGCAGAGCTCTTAGGAGAGCAGAGCAGCGGYGCTGCCGGGACGTCGCGGGCACCGGCTGCTGCCGCTGCCTCTAACTGCTCCCGGCCTTTGCTGCGGTCCCCGCGCTCGCTCCCGGTCTCACTCCTTGCGATGCTCTTGCCCTGTAGGCCTCATGCCGAGGATTTCAGTGCGGACTCCTCCTTCTCGCAGTAAGTGCCGTGCATGAGCTCCCGGTCGCRGAGCGCTCGCGAGCCGTGCGGCGCCGGGGGCCGGTCCCGCTCGCCCCGGGCCGGCAGATGAGGCAGCTCACACGGGAGCCAGTGACTCTCCAATCTCACTGTCGGAACCGTTATCCTTAGCCCTGCACTGGCGCTTGCCCGGGGCTGTGAGCCCCGGCTGCAGCTCTAATTAAACAATCCAGGTTCATCGGCAGAAGCAATTACAGGAGCAGAGCGTCAAGTCTCTGGTGCTGCAAAACAGAGCAGCCAAACAGAGCACAGCCTGTTACTGCTTCTTCYCTTTCTGATTTTATTAATGTATTTATCATTATGATTACTATTACAGAGAGCAAATGTATGAACTGGTGGGTGGCGAGCAGAGCGGGACCAGGACTGGGGGTCCCGCATGGGGGCTAATGGGGTTTGGGGGCTGCAAGGYGCCTGCACCTCCAGGGCAGCAGCGGCAGGTTTCTAGCTTGGTGCTATAGAGTTTTTAATCAGCCTTTACTATGTTTTGCTGGTTCTCTTAGCCTTTGCYGAAGTGCATGCAGATTGAACTATCGCCCTGCCCGGGCTCCGGGGGTGGTTTTGCCCAGCATCCCCCGCGTGGGAGCTTCCCGCCCGCCTGGTTGTCCCGCAGATGTTTGTGCTTGGGTTTTTGGGCATTGCTCCCCTGATGTCGTGAGCGGGAGGGAGGCCCAGGCTGCCCTGGAGGCTCTGCGGTTCCTGCCGCTCTGGCTCCCGGGCAGAGCGTTTCCAAGGGTGGCTGCTTGGAACCTGCTTTCCACCAAAAAAATAACCTAAGACAGCCCCAAGCTGCATTTTTCCCTCCATCCAGCCCCTCCTTTGGTGTGGGGAGCAAAACGGAGCCTGGCTTAAGGTTGAGCCGGAGCTCTGGCCAAGCCAGGGGCTCCTCTGAGACGGCGCTGCCTTGTAGAGACAGGTGCTGGCAGCCACCTAATTGCAGAGATTTCTGTTCTTTTTATTTATTTATTTATCTCTCTATCTATATATTTATTTCAGATATCTCTGAAATACCCTGCTAACGATAGAGATAATTCCTTGAGATGATTTCCTAGCTGAGAATACCTCTTTTTGCCTAGTTGTACTGTGAGAACAGGGATTCTGGATGCAGAAAGATGCTTAATACATAATACACACACATACACATATGTGTATATATATATATGTGTATGTGTGTATATATATATGTGTGTGTGTGTGTGTGTATATATATATATATATATATATATGCACCTATTTCCAGGCCTGTTTCTTGCAGTGCAGGCGCTTGGCCCCGAGCGGGGGGCGATTCCCGTCGGGGGAGGCGGGAGCCCTTCGGGAGCCGCTGGGCAGGGTTTGGTGGCCGCGTCACCACCCTGGCCAGGAGCCTCGGGCGCCTCTCGGGTTCCCGGCCGTGTGTTTTCCACCGCCGCTCATGTAAGTCTGGGGCAAAGAAGCTCTTTGGGCTGCTGCTTTGCTGTAATGGCAGCGTTGTCACCTTCTGCCACCGATCCCCGCCCTGTGCTTTGGGGTGAGATTGAGCTTTTTTGGGTAGTGCATTTMTAACATGTTCATTCCTGGCTCTCTGGAGCAGACGCGATTCTCGAGTGGTTGCTGCCTCCTGTTTTCCTCACTGTCTCATTTTACCGGAGCTGTGCCTGTTCAGTGCTTTACAGCACTAATTACTGCATCTTTTTTTGGGGGGGGAAGCTCCCCGTTTCTGAGGAAATTGCCTCAAATCTTAGATTAATAAAGCACAGTAAATAACTGAGTGGAGAAGACAAAACTGCTCGGGCTTGGTAAGGTGCAGACAAACGGCCCTGACGGCACCTGCAGCAGAGGGGCCGGAGCCTGGGGATCCTGGGGTTCACAGGGTGGTTTGCTTTAAAAAGCACCTAAGGGTCTTTAAGCCCTGCAGGTCTGTGAGAAGAGGTGGCYGCTTGGTGTCCGGTTTCAGCGGCAGTGCCAAGGGAGCAGCCAGAGYGTGCTGGCCTTGCGGAGCCTTGGGAAAACCGGGAAAACTGGCGTCTTTGCCCTCGCTTTGGCATGGATGGATTCCCAAACGCAGGGAGCAGGAGCKCCCCTCGCTAAAGCCTTTCCCAGGAAGTCTTGGCATTACTGCTCAGCAGATATCTGCCGATCCCCCTTGTATTGGAGCTGGCACAGCCTCCTGTCACCTGTCCCCGCTCRGAACCATGCGCGCCGAGGGACATGTGTGACCGGAGCTGGCACCCTGTGCGCCAGCGGATTGCACTGGTGGAGAACAYGGGGTTGTACATTTAGTGCGTGTCACTCTGAGTGTGTTTGACTTGATCTGGGCCCAGGTAACGAGAACCCGGTGATTTTGTGGGCAGCTAAAAACCAGCAGAGATTTCCTGATATTAATGTCAGAGACTCTGATGTTGAATACAGCAAAATGGGAGAATTTGCAAACTCATTGCACTTGACTCCAGGCTTAGTGATGCTGAAGCTGGGTCTTGCTCAGAGCACGAAGCAGGTACTAGAAAGCCACCCCTTAGCTTGAGCACAGCTTGTAACCCCAGGCTGGGAGATTATAAAATTCCAGAGCCTGGAAGAGCTATAAAATGTCTTTGCTGTCCACAGGGCCTCGCAGGGCTGACCTGGGCTCAGGGCAGGAGGAGAAGCTCGAGGGAGGCAGGAGCGGGGTCGGTGCAGAGGCTGATGGAGCAGAGGGCAACAAGTGCCGCAGGGCCTCTGCACGCTGGGAATTTGCAATATTAACGGCTGCTTCCCGCAGGTTTCCAGCATCCTCCCCATCCTGCCTTTACTTCCCGGCTGCATCGGAGGCTCCGAGCGTTACAKTTCCGGGCTGGTTGGCAGAGCCGGGTTTTCCACAACGGCCAAGTTGTGGTTCCTTAGCAACAGGGGGGATTTTCCTCCGGGGCGCCGGGGCTGCTCCTTGGCGCGGGGCCGTGGGTGGGCGCAGCGGTGCTCACGTGCCCGCCTCTGCCCGCAGGGTGCAGGTGGAGTTCTACGTGAACGAGAACACCTTCAAGGAGCGCCTCAAGCTCTTCTTCATCAAGAACCAGCGCTCAAGTAAGTGCCATTGCCATCGCCTCCGGCTCCTCCGTGGGGAGGTGGATGGGGAGCCCCGTGCCCAGCTTCGGGATGGATCAGCCCCACGGCATAGCAGTGGGATTTGTTTTCTTTCTCTGGGAAGAATCTRCTAGTTCAGTTATAAATCCCTGTTTTTCTTTCTTGGTAAGAAGCYGGGGCTCAGCACACCCGCCTGCCCGCGAGGAAGGTTTTAATGAAAACGCAATGGGTTTGCCACTTGCAACTTGAATAATAACCCAAGGCCCTGGCTCAGAAGGGAAAGCTAGGAAAGCAGCTGCTTTTAGTCACTGTCCACCCTGCCCCGAGCCGCTCTGCGCAGCTCCAGGATTGCTGGGGGGCAGCCCCTGGCAGGCAGGGCAGGTTTKGGGTGCAGCGGAGCAGAACGGAGCCGTGTCCAAGGCAGGAGGTGCTGCAAGCCCCGGGCCAGCGAGCAGCACAGCCGGAGCCCGCGAGGGGCTAGCGCGGCTCCAGGGCGCTGCAGCTCGGCCCGCGGCCCCGCGAGCACCCGCTCTCCCTCCCGCAGGCCTCAGGATCCGGCTCTTCAACTTCTCCCTCAAGCTGCTCACCTGCCTGCTCTACATCGTGCGYGTGCTGCTCGACAACCCCGAGGAGGGCGAGAGCTGGTGGGTGCCGCGCGGCGCCGCGTCCCGTGCGGGCCTCTCCCCAGCTCTGATGCCAAAAGCCCTCCGAGCATCAGGGAAGGGAACGCGTTCTGCCATCTAGGTCCCCGGGGTGACAGATGCCACATGCATCACTCTGTTCTGGGGCTGCGTAGGAGCCTATTTTTACCCTGCCCTTGCGTTGTTTATCCCACACATGCATTTTTTTTTTCCCTGCATGAGCTGGGGTGCTCCATGGGAATTAGTGCTTTGCTGCCCTCCATGGGAAGGACCCAGCGTGTCCCAGAGGTGCTGGAGAGCCCGGGTTAGGGTGGGCAGGGGCCCTGGGCGGCCCCTTTGCCCCTCACTGCGCCTCGTGTCTCCACCACAGCTGGGAATGCGACAAGCAGAACCTCACGCTCTTCAACCAGTCCACCCAGATCAACTGGTGAGTGGTGGCTGCGCGATCCCGATGGGCAGGGGCTGCATCCCTGGGGAAGCCGATTCTCCACACAGAGGACTGAGTCCTGTGTTCCCTGTGTGGTGACAGCTCTGCTAATGGCCCTAGCAGACCGTGACTCTTCTTTGCAGGTCCCATATCTTCTGGGTGGATAGAAAAACGCCCCTGTGGGCTGTCCAGGTGAGTGTCCAGACCTCGGGCAGTGTCATGCAGAAGCCRTGCTGTATTTATATCATATGGGCTGATGCTCTGCTCTCAGCATGTCCCTGGGCTTGTTTTGTCCCAGAGCAGATGGGGAAAAACAGTTTTTTGATGAGCAGAAACGAAGCCAGGTTTTTAGTTCAGAATAGCAAGCAAGGGGAAGGCACTGGCAAGGCTGARGAGGCATCGAATGGACCCTAAGGAGCATTTGCCCGTCTCTCCCGCAGGTCAGCATAGCTCTGATCAGCTTCCTCGAGACCATGCTGCTCATCTATCTCAGCTACAAGGTGAGGGTGCTGTCGGGAGCGCTCCAGCATCCTGCTCCACGTGGGCACTCCAGAGCCACCAGCCAGGGATGGGTGCCCTGGGGCACGTCAGCCTTAGCGCTGTCACACACGGAACCATGACCTGCTTTGCTCTGTATCCCCGCGGAGCTGCTGTTTGACTCTTCAGCAGAGCTGAGCCAGCACTTCTCTTCTTCCACTTTGCTTGAAATTCAGACCAGGTCTAGCTTTTGCAGAGGCCAACTGGGTTTTAAAGTGGGCCAGAAATGAGCCCCTCTGTTGAAGTGCTCTGCATTTCTAAAGATTCAAGGCCTGGATGCAGACTCAGCACTAAACTCAGTCCTGCGTTGACCTGCGGTCTCTTTCCCTTACCTGGGGCTCTCAATGGTCTCAGTGGCCCTTTGCAGAGATTGGGATTTTGCATTAAGGAAGCACTTTTGCAAGAAACAGCCTTGTCTCCTGCTTTTAATGAGAACAGTCACCTTCAACCTGACCTCTCCATGGCAGAAATCAAGTGTTTTGGGAAGTCCTCCCATTCCCGTGGTCTGTCACCACTGTCACCTCTGCCTTCCCCCAGGCAAACGGCAGCATCTCCCTGGCTGCTCTCAGTGGGAGCTTTTCAATTGTMCTTCTGTGTATCTTTAAGCTTATTCAATTAACGCTCTTTATTTAATTCCAGGGGAATATCTGGGAACAGATTTTTCGCATTTCCTTCATCCTTGAAATGATCAACACAGTGCCCTTTATTATCACCGTGAGTATTCACTATTGGTATTTTAAAGCAACTATAAGTTTAGTAAGTACTGCTGTTTAATAGTGAAATAAAGAGAAGAGAATGTCTGGCCAAGTATTTAAAGCTGGCAGGGAATTTTTGCTTCAGTGTTTTTCAATATAATGACTTTCTCTGGAGCGTAAGCCCAAAAAATGTCTTCCATTTTCAGYTGCTCCACTGCAGTCGCGGGAGCGATGTCGGCCGTCAGCGACGGCCTCTGCAGAGAGCAGGGATTTTTCTGGAAATGAACCTCCTACTGATAGGGCTGGAACTGACTGTTTATGTCTTTATTTTTGGTAAAGAATGCTTTATGCTTTATGCTGAGTTTTTCAAGTCAACCTGTGCGTAACTCTTGCTTTTGTAGATATTCTGGCCTCCTTTACGGAATTTATTCATTCCGGTTTTCCTGAACTGCTGGCTTGCCAAGTATGCCCTGGAGAACATGATAGTGAGTAATCAAACATATCCCATCCACTGCATCCCAGCTTTTTTTTYGCAATAGTGATGAAAGCTGCAGCAATCCCAACCAGCGCCCGCCTTGGTGCCACAGCTCTGCCACCTTCAGGACTCCATGGGCTCTGTGTAGGGACCAGTCCGGTGTTCCCTGGGTTATGATAACACAGTGGGGTCAGAGATACCTCCTCCACTCCCATGTTCATCTCTTGAGCTGTCTATCGCAGCTCCCTGCAGCATCCTGCATGTGGGCTGACATGAACTGATGCTACTCCTTGCACAGCCCAATGTCTTTTCAAAGGGCCACATTCTGGCCTGATGTCCCTCTGAGCTGGATGGCTGGAGCCAGCAGTGCTTTACTGTGAGCTCTAGCCATAGCTGCTGCAACTTGGTGAGACCTCTCTTCCTTCTTCACAGAATGACCTGCACCGAGCCATACAAAGGACCCAGTCTGCRATGTTTAACCAAGTGCTCATTCTCATCTGCACCCTGCTGTGCCTGGTTTTCACGGGGTAAGTGCTGCTCTTTGTGTTGCTGATCCCCCTTCTTCCCAATGCATTCATTCCAGGTCTCCATGCTGTGGAACAGGGAGCAGGTGGAGGCTCCACGTTGGTGGGAGCTCCAGGAGGCAGCTCTGCATCAAGCCCTGGGGAGATGATCCCAGGCAGGGAGGTGATAGGTGATTTGAGAAGCTGGAGGAGTCTCTTCCTCCATCTCCGAGCACTATCTCCTAGCCTGATCCTTTAGCCTGGTGCTTTGTATGCTTTAAGAAAAGCTTCAGGGCTGTTGATCAGAGTGAACTTGTGCGTCTTTGATGTCTCCCCTTCACTAACGTGACCAATCCCTGTTCTGTTAAACTAAGAGAGAGTTTTGAAATCAGGAGGGCTCCTACTGAGGCTGCTGTACCCAGACCCCAGGCYTAGCTCAGCTTTGACTTGGCCAGAGCTGCGTGGCCGGGATCACCCTCCAGCTCCGCAGCTCTGACTCCTGCACTGCAGACATTGACTCAGAGCTTCTCCTTACTTTGCTCTCTTTCCCAGAACATTTAACAAAAAGAAGATCAATTCCTATTTTAGGAGCTAATTGCCATCTCTAATTACATGATTTTTAACAGAATTTTTAAAATTGGAGCATATCAGGGTGAGGGAGCTGTCTGCGGGAGACAGCTTATATAAATTCAGGAGTCTTGGAGCGGGGCAGTAACAGCCATTGAGTCAGGGACAAAGCCAGTCATTTCCAAAGGGGACCCAGGTTTGGACACAGGTCCAGCTGCGATGGCTCGTGCATCCCACCACACTCCTGGCTCTGAGAGCCCAAGAGTGTGCTGCTCTTGGGAAGAAGTTACCATGGTTGCTGAATTCATTGGTGTAATCAGCCACTGGGTCCTTGCTAATTAACAGGGCCCTTGCAAAGAGCAAGGGCAGGGGTTSGAAAGACCTCCCTGTCTGCACCGAGTGCCCAGCTCCCAACCAGGCTGCCCGAGTCCTCCCCTGGCTCCGTGTTCTGGGCTTGGAGCACAGGGAACCAATGAAGCCGCTGAAAGAAAGGGATTCGGAGCTCTCGGGCCCCAAGTCTCCGACAACACAGACGATCTGCACTTGTTAAAGGCTAATGTGATGTCTAAGCTCATCAGCACCCTGTGCCCATGGCGCCTTCTGTGCGCTGGGGCTGTCGCTTGTTTTCTTGGAGATTGAGTTCCAAGGCTGCTTACGTGCTGTGGCTCCTCAGCAAGATGCCTCTGGAAGCGCGGGTCTGCCAGGTGCCCTGGTGCCTAATTGGGGAAGCTCTGTCTGAGAAGGGAACAGGCAGGATGGAGGCATCGCTTGCCTCCTGCTTGCTGCAGGGGCTCAGGCTTAGATGTGAGGACCCTTCATGCAGGTTGAGYCCCTCCAGAAGCTGACTGGGATGGTTGATTGTGTCCTTTTATTTTATTACTTTTTTTTAAGTAGTTTTCCCTCCGTTTGTGACATAGCCTTATTGTGAAGGAGCTAGGACCCAGATTTTCTGGTAGTRTTTTGGTGAGCAGTTGAGTCTAACTCTAACCTACAAGTGCTGTGATTTGAATCAGTTTTTGCTGGTGATGTAAATCCACTGCTGATGCTGAGCACATGTTGCAGACAAATTTATTCCAAGGGAGCTGCAGGTCACCTTCTGGAATTCCCCGTTGGCTTCAGCAGGAGGTAAGGGCACACTGCACAYCCCAAGGGCTGGGAGCTTGGCTGTGACATGTGCTTTCCTCCTGCAGCACTTGCGGCATCCAGCACTTAGAAAGAGCAGGAGAAAAGCTCTCCCTCTTCAAGTCCTTCTATTTCTGCATTGTCACCTTCTCCACTGTGGGCTACGGCGACGTGACACCGAAGATTTGGCCTTCTCAGCTCCTGGTTGTTATAATGATTTGTGTTGCACTGGTTGTGCTGCCACTTCAGGTGAGAGCCTAGGGGCAGTGGGAGCAGAGGGTGCAGGGCTGGCCTGAGACACAGTAACACGCAGAGCTTCAGTTAGGACAGCTCTCCAGCTGCCTGACACTGAGTTTAGCAGCCAGTGTCGGTGAAATGCAAAGGAGACATTCGCTAAGGGATGTAATTTTCACTGTGTTGAAAATTTGTCACAATGCAGTTGAGTCCTGGTGGTCAGTGTAGGGCATTTGGGAAAAAAAGAAAGCCTTGCTGCCAGTCCTGGCCATGGCCACAGCCCTGAACGGTTCCTTTCCACYTGGACATTGGTTGAAGGATGGAGGAGGCCTCCTTGGCAAAGGCTTCTGATGGGACTTGATAGCAAAAAATTATTTCTTGCTGTCCTTTAGAAGAAGAAGCCAAAAGCAGGGCCTGTGCATTTTATCAGGCTTTATATCTTGCTCTCAATCTCCTGGAAGAGCAACCAATTGCCAGATGGAGCAGGAAYGGTGGTGGTGGGTCTCTGGCATGGGGTGACTGTTTTGGAAAGATGTCTGGCTGAAAGAGCTCTGTGRGGCATCACCAGGTGCTCCCCACCTCCAAGGCCATCAGCCCTGTGCTTTGCTTGCAGTTTGAGGAGCTGGTCTACCTGTGGATGGAGCGGCAGAAGTCGGGGGGCAACTACAGCCGCCACCGTGCCCAGACGGAGAAGCACGTGGTGCTGTGTGTCAGCTCGCTSAAGATCGATCTGCTCATGGACTTCCTCAACGAGTTCTACGCCCACCCGCGCCTGCAGGTAGGGCCTGGCCGCCACCAGTGCCTGAGAGCCTAGGCAGGCTATTTAAGTGCAAGGATTTCCCATAACAGTATCTTGCGTAGAAACAGAAGCAGTAATTGCTGAGTCTCGCTGGGATTTACCCAGCTCTGCACGGAATATCCTCACATAACGAGGGATCTCCCTGCAAGTGCATCACCGATGCATTTTAGATTTGCATTTCATTCCAAATTCAGCATACACTTCATTRCCATTGCTCACGTATTCAATCTATACAATGCTGTTAATTTCTCTAATTGCAAGCRTTTCCGCTTAGCTGTGCATGCACCGCGCACTCGTACCTCCAAAGCCAGATGTGCCTGCACTGGGCTCATTGTGCAAACCGAGACGGTGATTTGCTCTGCAAGACCCAAGAGCAGGTGCAGRAGATGTATTATGGCACGAGGAGCAAATACTGAAAGCCCTGGAGGGCTTGCTTGCTCAGGCAGCAAAACGCTGTGTCTGAGCTAACGTGCAGGGCTCTGCGTGCCAACACGAGCCTGCTTTTCCCAGGACTACTACGTGGTGATACTGTGCCCAACRGAGATGGATATCCAAGTGCGGCGAGTCCTTCAGATTCCCCTGTGGTCGCAGCGAGTGATTTACCTCCAGGGCTCGGCGCTGAAGGACCAGGATCTCATGCGAGCCAAGTGAGCAGAGCGCTGTGCTGGGATCCAGCCAGGATATGGTCTGGCTCCTGYGGGAGGCTACCAAAACCGCGGCCCCCCACCACATCCCCGGCATGGGTGACTGTGCAGGATCCCGTTTCCTTCTGATTCCCCACGCGTTGTCCCAGGTGYGAAGAGGATCCCAACCTCTGGGACACAGCCCTGCCCCAGCTCTATCTGAGCCTGAAATTTGTGTGGCTGGAACACGTGTTCCTCCTTCCCTAAGACTGCACTGTCCCCTGGCTCCCTCTCTCTTGCCTGCTGACACAGGCAGCTTTTCATGGCTTGCCGAGTCTTTCTCCACCGTCTCAGAAGCCGCTCTCAGGTCCCTGTGCTTTGCCTGGGCTCTGCTTGCTCAAGGCTGGTTGGGAAAGCTGAGTTTTAATTGCGCACAGAGCAGCAGGAGAGGGCAATGAGGGCCCCCGTGCRGTCCCTGCCCGGGGCTGAGGCTCCGTGCGCTTCCCAGCATCCCTGCTCCGTGTTTGCAGGATGGACAATGGAGAAGCCTGCTTCATCCTGAGCAGCCGGAACGAGGTGGACCGCACGGCAGCGGTAAGGCGGCACTGCGGTACCGGCGCACAGAGATGCCCGTTTTTAAGGCCTGGGTTGGGCAGTGGGCAAGGTTGTTCTGTCCCCTGCTGCCAGGACAGGCATGGGATGTGAATGTTTCACGAGTCCTTGCTTGGGTCTTCGCGGTGTCAGCGATGCTTTAGAGCCAATCTCACTCCTAGAAAGAAAAAATAAGCTGTCGGATTGCAGTTCTTGCTGTTCTCTTTCCCTAGGATCATCAGACCATCTTGAGAGCCTGGGCTGTGAAAGATTTTGCTCCAAACTGTCCCCTCTACGTGCAGATCCTGAAGCCCGAGAACAAGTTTCACGTCAAGTTTGCTGGTGAGTGCTGGGGTCAGGGATCGAGTGGTGGCAGCCGAGAGGGGGACACGGTGAGYGTCCAGGGCTCTCTTTCCTGCTTGTCCTCCCAGTGTCTTTGGGCTGTAGGGCAGATATTTCAGGCCCTTYAGCCCCTTGGAAGCCTTGGAAGGAGAAGCTTGCAGCAATCAGCAGTGTTGCTGAACTGGTGGYGCGGGCTGAGCAGGTCAGAGAGGAAGAGAGCAGGTCCAGCACCCGGCCTCAAGTCAGACCCTCTGTCACGGGCTTTTGGGGCTCTGACCCCTCTTTAGAAAGAACTGTTGGCTGTTGAGCAGAGCCCCATGGGGTAACACCCTGGTGGCATCGCACTGGCTGCGGCGGGGACCTGCGTGGGGCCTCATTCACTTGCTGGGTTTCCAGCCATGTGCCTCCTTGCCCCTGTGGGCATGGGCACGGTGCGTGGTGCTCCCCGCGCGTTGCTTCTCCTTGTCCTGCCCCTGCCTTGCAGATCACGTCGTGTGCGAGGAGGAGTGCAAATACGCCATGCTGGCGCTGAACTGCGTGTGCCCGGCCACCTCYACGCTCATCACGCTGCTGGTGCACACCTCGCGCGGACAGTGAGTGCCTGCGGCGCCTGCCCTGCGCCCCGTGCTCCCAAATGCACCCCCAGTTTTGGGCTGGTCCATGCACGGCTCACAGGAAAGCCAGGCCTGCATGGCCCTTCGGTCTTGAGTGCAATTTAATGGGTTTTGGGTTATGTGAGACAGCAGAGTGCTRAGCTACCCTTTCTAGGAGAGACTGTACCCCCTGTGAGGAGCTGCCTGCAAACATCTGCTCTCGGCTCCGCTTCTGAGGCTCCCTCCATGGGAGCTTTCATTAAATAAGAAGGCACTTAAAAATCAGAAATTAAAATGAGATCATCCTTAGCCTGCAAACACTGACAATGTATTGAAACACGTTGCTATAATCTTATCGCTGCTGGTCTGAAACGCAGCTYATTAGCACTGCCGTGGGCCAGGTCTCTATCCAGGAGCGGCACAGACAGCAAGGTCCAGGGTGGGGGAATCCCAGTCCCAGCCCCATCTCCTCCTCCCGCCCAGTGCCCCTGGTGCCAGGGACAGCTGGGGACACCGTGTGATGCCTGTGTGTCGCCTGCAGGGAGGGCCAGGAGTCCCCGGAGCAGTGGCAGAGGATGTACGGGCGCTGCTCGGGCAACGAGGTCTACCACATCCGCATGGGCGACAGCAAGTTCTTCATGGAGTACGAGGGCAAGAGCTTCACCTACGCTGCCTTCCACGCGCACAAGAAGTGAGTGCTTGGGTGGCCATGGCCATGAGTGTTCTTATCCAAGAGCTGGGAAGCTTTGGGAAAGGCCTGGGGCTGCACGGCCTTTGCAAGATGCAGGAGGTCAGAGCATGTTTGCTCCTCTCTGGCCTTGCCTTGGAGAGCCAGGGCCTGGCTGGGCTTTCCCTGAATGTCCATGTTCTGCTCATATTCCAGGTACGGAGTCTGCCTGATCGGCATCCGTCGGGAAGAGAACAAGAGCATCCTGCTGAACCCGGGGCCACGCCATATCATGGCTGCGTCCGACACCTGCTTCTACATCAACATCACCAAGGAGGAGAACTCGGCCTTCATCTTCAAGCAGGAGGAGAAGCAGAAGAAGAAGGGCTTTGCAGGCAGCTATGACGGCCCTTCGCGCCTGCCCGTGCACAGCATCATCGCCAGCATGGGTGAGTGCCACGAAGGGACGACACACGAGCCAGCAGCACCAGCTCTGCCTGGAGGGAAAAAGCTGCCGTGGGCATCTCTGCTGCTTGCAGCTCCGATGCTCTCAGCAAACCCAAATACCCTTGCTAAAGCTCTCGAGGACCATTATCATTAATAGTGTTTGGCTGCCTAATTCTCCCAAGCCCCGGCTGGAGAATAAACGCTGCGACCACCTCCTAAATCACGCGTGTGATTCACACCRTGGTGAATGGCATCGTTTGTGCTGCAGCAAGCAGTGCGTTTTGTTGGGTGAAAATCATCATGAGTCATTACTTCCAGCTTGTACCTGGGGAGAACAAATTTGGGGGCGTCTGGAGAGGCTGCGCTGCAYTAGCAGCCTGGGTTGCTGGCAAATCATTTATGCATTTGTACCCAGGAGCCTGGATTTGCATAGATTAGGGCACAAGGAGATCCAGTGCTCTGCTCAGCGGCGTTTGTCACTGTTCTCCTTGTGTGACTCGYGTGCGGAGGGACCTTTCTCAAAAGTGCATTGAGAGGGAGAAACTGCTTGGGCTCCGGTGGGTCAGTTGTGGTCAGGGGGTGGCTGACGGGAGGGGGGAACGTGCCCAGCTCCTGCATGTGGCTTGCTGTGAAATTCCCAGCTTTTACAAGCACCAAAAATGGGATATTTGATGAAGACCCATCCGAGGCTCTTGGCGGCGGTTTCCAGCTGCGCCTGTGGGTTTGACAGTCCCGTTCGCCGCCTCATCGAGCCCCTCGCTGTGCTCCCTTCCCCGTCCCAGGTACAGTAGCCATGGACCTGCAAAACACTGAGTGTCGCCCCATCAACAGCAGCAAGCTGGCGCTGCCGGCCGAGAACGGCGCGGGCACGCGGCGGCCCAGCATCGCGCCCGTGCTCGAGCTGGCCGACACCTCCTCGCTGCTGCCCTGCGACCTGCTCAGCGACCAGTCGGAGGACGAGATGACGCAGTCGGACGAGGAGGGCTCGGCCGTGGTGGAGTGAGTTGCCTGCGCCCGCCGCGGCCGGGCAGAGCTGCCGCCACTGCTCGCGTTGGGCTTTGGTGAGGCTGAGCCTGGGACCGCTGGTGGAGAAACACAAGCGGTGCTATTGCCCGCCTCGCAATCACAAGTATATGTGTTTTTTTGGAGAATTCCCAATTGCTGTGGGAGAGCGGGGAAAAGCGCTTGCCTGGGATGTGCCATTATCTTCCTTCTGCTGCTCCTCAAGCCTTTGACTTCTGTGCACGTGGAAAACTCCCCACGGCATTATACCGCTGGGTTTCCCTCTGTTGCAGGTATGTCAAAGGCTACCCGCCAAACTCGCCGTACATCGGGAGCTCGCCAACTCTGTGCCACCTTTTACCCGAGAAAGCTCCTTTCTGCTGCCTGCGGCTGGACAAGGTGCGAAGCAGCAGGGCTGGAGCAGGGCAGCTGCTCCCAGGAGCAGGGCAGCTCCTTGTCCCAAATTGCCAGGGTTTAGGGTCAGAATGGTTGGCTGTGAGCTGGGTGCTGAACTTTGCACTCCCGTTTCTCCGCACAGGGCTGCAAACACAACAGCTTTGAAGACGCCAAGGCCTACGGGTTTAAGAACAAACTGATTATAGTTTCGGCAGAGACTGCCGGGAACGGGCTCTATAACTTCATCGTCCCGCTTCGTGCGTACTATCGGTCCCGAAAAGAGCTAAACCCCATCGTGTTGCTTCTGGACAACAAGCAAGTACTTCCCCTTGGAGGTTTCCTATCACACCAAGACCTTCCCTCCATCCCCTGGGTGTTGAGGGGTGGCATTGTGGCTCCGGGTCCTGCCTGGAGCACGGTGCCCTTCCTCCCACGGGCCTGGGAATGCTGTGCAGGGATGACTTTGCCTCTCTTGGGTTTGCTGAACTGCCTTGCTTTTTGTCATCCTTCTTCCAGGCCAGAGCACCACTTCTTGGAAGCAATCTGCTGTTTCCCTATGGTTTACTACATGGAAGGCACAATCGATAAGTAGGTGTTTCTGCTGCTCCTTACGGAGCTATTTAAATGTGCAGTGGTTGTCCCAAGCTCCACATGTGTCTGCCCCTAGTAGCAGGGAAGAGAGGAGCCATCCTGAGCSATGAGGAGCCCCAGGGTTGGCTGCCATGTAGACCTTGCGGCACCTTGGGTTGGGTTGAGTGCTTGGGTTGGCCAATGGGCTCTGGGTGAGGGGAGCAGGGCAGGAGCTGGGGGTGAGGGCAGTCTGGGCTAGTTCAAAGCTTTCTCTCTGGAGGGTKTCTGAGCAGGGTGTCTCAAGCCCTATCTCTGCATCCTGCTCCCATGACTACTTCTGAGGGGGGGACTCTGTGCTCTTCCCTTGGGAACCCGCCAGCCTGGACAGCTTGCTGCARTGCGGGATCATTTATGCGGACAACCTGGTGGTCGTGGACAAGGAGAGCACCATGAGTGCCGAAGAGGACTACATGGCGGACGCCAAGACGATTGTCAACGTCCAGACCATGTTCAGGTGAGAGGTGACCGTGGCACTGGCTCTGTCACTGTCACAGACACTCATCTTTCCTGGCACCAGGACAAGCAAGGGCAAAGGTGGGAGGTGCTGATGCTGGGGAGTGCATCTCATCTGCATTGGGGCTCACACGAGGCAACAGCAGTCCCATTCCCAGCCCTGGGATAGTCACACGGGTGGTTTTGGCCTTCCTCAGGCTACACTCCAAGCTTCCRATGCTGAAGGCTTTCTATTTCTGAGCAAGCTGCAGGACAGAAACAGGGCGCTCTCCCATTGCAGGCTCTTCCCCAGCCTTAGCATTATCACGGAGCTGACCCATCCCTCCAACATGAGGTTCATGCAGTTCAGAGCAAAGGACAGTTACTCCTTAGCCCTTTCCAAGCTAGAGAAGGTAAGATAAAGTCTTTCTTTGTGTGCGAGTTTGGAGAGTTCATCCTAATTCGGAGCTTTTTGTGGTCTTGTGCTCTCCTGCATGCTGTAGCTGCCGTAGTTAAGGTGCTTCTGTCCCAGACAGCCTGCAGCAAACCAAGGTGTGGTCAACTGATCCTTGAGCTATCTGCATCCTTCCATTGCTTGTGTGCTTGTTCAGCGTCTGGGCTTTGGGCTGCTTTGTCTATGTGTTGTGTTGGGAGTGTTGCAAGATCAGAGCAAGAGCAGGGAAGCTCCATGAGCTGGGTGGTTTTGCTCATGCAGTGGAGGGATGTGAGAGGTGCAGGGGCTCTCACTGCTGCTCTGTGCCCCTTCCAGAAAGAGCGGGAGAACGGCTCCAACCTGGCGTTCATGTTCCGGCTGCCCTTCGCCGCCGGCAGGGTCTTCAGCATCAGCATGTTGGACACGCTGCTCTACCAGGTGAGGCCACGGCCGGGCTCTGGGGTGCGAGGTGCTCTCCTTGGGACAGGGAGGCACAGGAAGGGCCTCAAATGTCAAGGCTGTTTCCATGGCTAAGAGCACATCCAGGACATGACTGGATGAATCCTTTCTGTGCCCATGTCTCCCGCCAGTCGTTCGTGAAGGACTACATGATCAGCATCACCAGGCTGCTGCTGGGCCTCGACACCACGCCGGGCTCGGGCTACCTCTGTGCGGTAGGTGCCAAGTTCCTGCGTGTTGGAACCCACACGTTGGGATGCCCTGGTCCTGCCTGGAGCCTCCAGGCAGCAGGAAAATTRGGCAGCAGAGGCAGGTCCGTCATGCCCCATGTTGCATGTGGGAAGCCCAGGGCCACCAGGAGCCCTCATGGCCTCTCCAAAGGCTGGCCAAGGAATTGCTCCATCTGTTTTCCAGCTTATTTTGGGCTCTGGAATTGCTGGGTTTGAGGGAAGTGCAGAAGTGTCCCATTGCTGCTCAAGAGCACAGCAAGAACCAGGAGGCTTCTATCCTTGTTTTGCCTAGATGAAAATCACCGAGGATGACCTGTGGATCCGGACGTACGGCCGCCTCTTCCAGAAGCTCTGCTCATCCAGTGCCGAGATTCCCATTGGTATTTATAGGACAGAGTCGCACATGTTCGCCACCTCCGAGGTGAGGGTRATGTGATGTGGAGGGTATGTGTCCGTGGGGTCGTGGGGCTGGTTTTCTGAACCTGTGATGACACCGTTATTTCATTTTTCATTATTTCCCCCCTGGTTCAGCCTCATGACATCAGAGCGCAGGTGAGTAGTATTTGCACCGGCCTTTGCACACGCTGGGGGTGGCTGGGGATTCCTTTGCATTTCAGCCTTGCCATGGCATGGGGGGAGGCAATGGCAGTGCCCGTCTTTGAGCCATGATGGGGCCAACTTATTGCAGTGGATGTCACCTGCCTATTGACCTCCACATTGTCTCGCTTTGGATGTTTTTATCCCAAATTGGCTGCCCAGGGGCTTTCGGCAGCGCAGAGCTGATGAGCTAGATGAGCGTACATGGAGAGGAGTAGGGAATAGCCATTCCCAAGGAGGGGAACATGCCCGCAGCACCGTGGGGTCCACCGGGAACCCCCCTGAGTGTGGTGCCCACCCATGACCCACCAAGCTTGCAGTCACAGATCTCCATCAACGTGGAGGACTGCGAGGACACCAAGGAYGTGAAGGAGCACTGGGGCATCAAGACGGGCCACCACCGCAACTCGTGCTCCAGCGACCAGTCGGAGCACCCGCTGCTGCGGCGCAAGAGCATGCAGTGGGCCCGGCGCCTGAGCCGCAAGGGCAACAAGCACGCGAGCAAGACAGCCGAGTGGATCAGCCAGCAGCGCCTGAGCCTCTACCGGCGCTCCGAGCGCCAGGAGCTCTCCGAGCTCGTCAAAAACCGCATGAAGCACCTGGGCTTGCCCACCACGGGGTATGGTGAGTGCCGCGCGGGTCGCGCTCGCCGCTGCTGCATCCTCGGAGCAGGTAACGGGGCAGATGTTCTCTGGAGCCGGCGCTCCCAAGCGGGGCCTCATCCCGCTGTGTGTTCCCKTTGCTGTCACTGCGTGCCCCAGCCAGACGCCCCTTGGTGCCACGGCCAGCGGTGCTCAGCTGTGGCACCGGCGGCACTCGGAGGGATGGGGAGCGTCGTGGTGGCCCCGCGCGGTTGCCCTCACTCCTCATCTGCTCCGGACCCTGGTCCCTCCGCGCCGCAGGGGGAGAGGAACCGGTGGGAGCTGGTGCCCCGTCCCCACTCCCTTTCCCTAGAGGTTTTAATGCGCCTGCAAATTCGCTGGGGGAAGGTTTCCGTCCCCCAGGGCTGAGTGGTTTGCTTCATTCTGTGCAAAACCGGGCTGGTGCCGCGGGGCGGGCGCTGTGAGCGACGGCCCGGCCGCGCCGCCGCGTCCCCCCGCGCTTGGTTTGTCCCCTGTCGCTGCTGGAGTCTGTCGCTGCCCTCAGTTCTGACAACGTCTCTTGCCGCAGCTTTCCTGGTTCGTTTTTCTCTTTTTCTCGCTGTCCTTCTCTGGTGTGAGCCATCCTGTGCTGCTGCCTGTTTGCTCCCCGCTCGCTCGCGCGGCCCCGGTCCCCGGGGCGCAGCGGGGCCCACGCGGCCGCCCCCTCTCTTGGCATCGCTGCGGGGGGCCCCGAGACGCGGCGGGGGGCCAAGGACGGCGGTGCCAGCGGTGCAGGGGGACGTGGGGCTGGAGGGTGACCGGGGCTCCCCGCTGCCCTGGGGACCTTTACTGAATCGGGGAGCTCTGGTCCTCTCCCTGTTTCCTGGCTTCAGGACTGTGTCCCAGCGGCCACGTTTAACGTGCACGGCTGAGACCCGCCCCATGGGGGCCGGTGCAGGCGCCGTCCCGCCCGCTTCGCCCGCCCCGCGCTCCTGCTCCGCCCCGGGCGCCCTCCGGCCCCGCCACGTCCTGCCGAGCGCCCCGGGCAACCCCCCTGCAGAATCACCCTGCGGGGGGACCCGGGYGCTGCTCCCCCTCCAAAAGTGCCCGCGGTGGCACCTAAGTCTGTCAGCGCTCCGGGTGAGGCCGAGGCTGCGCAGGGGTGTCCCTGTCCCCGAGCCGCGGGGCCGGAGGAGCCGCCGGGGCCGCTCCGGGCCGCGCTCCCGGCTCCCACCCGGAGCGTCGCTCGCGGCCGGGCCGGAGCAGCCGCTTGCCCCCTCCCCGCCGCTTGCTGACCTCTCTCTCTCTCTCTGTTTATGTCTGTGCCTCTCCCTGTATGTTCTGTAGAGGATGTAGCAAATTTAACAGCCAGTGATGTGATGAATCGGGTAAACCTGGGATATTTGCAAGGTAATTCCCTTCCCCGGGGAGTCCCGCGGGCTCTGGGCGTGCAGCGCCCAACAAGATCATGGCAGCTCCGCTCCCCCCCTGCCCTCCCCCCTGCGGCCCCGTTCTGAGATGAAAGGCAAAGGAGAGAAGCAGAGGAAGGTGCCATGGAAGGGCACCCGAGGGAGCAGAAGGCTCCAGCAGGCGGGATGCGGGATGCAGGATGTGGGGCGAGCCGACGGCYGCCTCTCCCCGCTGTCCTTGATGCCTCCCCTGCCCACGGCTCCGCGGGCTCTGGGGCTGCTGGTGGCAGGTGAAGACAGGGTTGTGGTTGGTGCTGCTGTGGAGGCGCCCRGGTCCTGGTGTCGCTTTGGGAGCCCCCGTGGGCTGGGGGCACCGGCCCCAGGCCTTGCAGCAGTGATGCAGCGAATGTGGGTGGCCTTGGTGGCCCTCCTGGAGCAGCAAGGTGGTGGCAGGTCCCCATGTGCCACAATTACCGCCGTGGTGGGCAGGGCTGGACCTGCTGCAGGGGAAGAGCTGGGGTTTGCCTGGTCGAGGCTCCATTAGGGAATGGCTGCCGCTGTGGAAGCCCTTGCAGTGCTGGAGCTGGGGCTGCAGCGGCAGGGCCCCTCTCTGGAGGGTGTTTTGGTTATTGTGATGTCCTGGGGACGAGTGTCCCGACACGGGAGCGTGGCCCCTGCTCTGCCCCCTGGGGCGGTACTCGCTGCAGGGTCAGGGACTCTGCACCCCCGACCCTTCATCCCCATCACCCCCCTGCTGCACGGTCAGGCTGTGAGGCTGGGCATGGGGCTGCTGCAGGACACTGTGGGATGCTGCGGSACACCTCAGGACACAGCTGGACTCCCCTGCGGCTCGGGGGGCAGGTGCTGTCCCCCCATGGCAGAGGGGCAGGGTCAGCCCTACATCCACGTCCCTGAATGATGGGCATCCCCCAGCCGAATGCACCCCGGAGCCCATGAACCCACCTGCACCCTAGACCCTGTGTACCCCAGACCCACATCCCCCCAGCCCCCTGCACACTGCAGAGCCGCAGAGGCAGCAGGGACAGCCAGGGAGCTGTGGAGGAAAATCCCGGAGCCGCGGCCTGTCTGTGGGTGCCCGTGGGCACTCACTGGCACCACGGGGGAGGCACCCGGTGTCCAACCTTGCAGCCTCCYGCCCCGCACCCCATTCCACCACCCCCACCATCCATGTGCCCCCGCACCCCCCATCCCCGCGGCACCTCCCCTGGCTCCYGGCATCCATCCCCCCATGATCTTGTTTGGGCCGTGGGGGCTCAGGCCGCTCCCTGGGCGTGCGGGCACCGGGGCCACGAGCAGCGCGGGGACAAGCCGCCCCCTCGGGGTCCCCGGCGCCTCCGGGTGCCCGCGGCGGCTCCGCATCCAGCGCCAGGGAGCTTTTCCGAGGCTGCTAAAGGAGGGGCGCGGCTGCTGGGTGGGGGGAGCTGCCCGCGCCCCGCGGGTGCGGCACTACCGCGTCCCCGTCCCGCGGCGGAGCCAGGTGAGCGGCGCTCGGGGGCGGGCGGGGGGCGCGGGGGCCGCCGTGCAGCGCCCGCCCCGCTCTTGCAGACGAGATGAACGACCACCAGAACACGCTCTCCTACGTGCTCATCAACCCGCCGCCCGACACGCGCCTGGAGCTCAACGACATCGTGTAGGTGCCGGCGGCACCGGCGTGGGGGGCGGTTCGGGGTGGGGGGGTCGGCCCCGCGCTGAGCCCGCTCTGCCCCGCAGGTACCTGATCCGCTCGGACCCGCTGGCGCACGTGGCCAACGAGGGCCAGAGCCACAAGAGCAGCTGCAGCGCCCGCCGCGGCCCCCGCAGCCCCGACACCCGCGACGAGACGCAGCTCTGAGCTCTGAGCGCGCCTCGCTGCGGGAAGGGGAGGGCGGAGACCTCACCACGCGCCCGGGAGCGGGTCCGGGGAATGCGACGGGTCCTGGGGGTGCCGTAGGTCCTGGGGGCACCGTGGGCTCCGGGGCTGCCAAGGTGCCACCATGGGCCCTAGGGATGCAATGAATCTCGGTGGCATCACGGATCCCAGGGACGCATTGGGGCCTGGCGGCACCGTGAGCACCGGGAATGCAGTGGATCCCGGTGACCCTGGGGCTTCCATGGGTCCTGGTGCCASCCTGGGTCCCGGTTCTGCTGTCATTGGTCCCACGGGGCGCTCTCTGCAGTGGAGACAGCAGATGGATTTTTCATCTATTTTTGCACACTCTGAGATGTTGATGTGTAATCGGTTTATTTGACTGCCCAGTGAATAAACCGACTTGTTAACTTTATATACTTTTACATTCATATATTAAAACTTAAAAGTAATTTTTTTTTTTTTTTAAGAGGAGCCTATAAAGCACAAGGTGCCCGACCCGGGCGCTGCCGCCGCCGCCTCGCCAGCCCCTCGCCATCACACAGTAAAATTGTTTACAAAAAAACCTCTTTAAAAATCACAGCTTTAAGCCATTAATAACCTGGACTGGCCGTGGGCTGGAGGCCCCAGCAATTTGGGGTTGTCTTCCTTTTTTTTTTTCCCTTCTCTTTTTACTCTATTCCTTCTCCTTCCTTCTCCTTCCTTCTCCTTCCTTCTCCTTCCTTCTCCTTCCTTCTCCTTCCTTCCTTTCCTTCCTTCCTTTCCCCTGTTATCCTATTTCCTCTCTTTTCTGTTTTCTTCCTCCTCCTTTCCCTTTCTGCAGGCAGCCCGGCTGGGTCCTGCAGATGCTGCTTTTCTTTGCTCCCCTTGGTGTCTATTGTGCCAATGGGGCAGGAAAGGTCCTGGCAGCCCGGACGGACACGAATTGCCTCGCCAGGGTGAAAGCTTTAACAAATCAAGTTGTATTTCAGATTTTTATTTTTATTTCTTATTTTTTGCCACTCCTGCTTTGGCCCCAAAGGGATAGCAGAGCTGAGAGCAGCTGTGGGGCCAAAAGGGGACCCAAATCCAAGCGCTCCCCAATGTGTCACTTAGCCAAGGGGCTGCGTCTGGACGAGCAAATCCAAAGGCAACAAGTGCCCAAGCAACAAGTGCACCAGGGGTGTAAGAGCAGCCCCTACAAACCAACAGGAAACACACAGCTAGAGTTTGTGGTAATACTGAAAAACAGAAAAAAAAGCCTTCTTAATATTGTTGCATTTTTGACAAGTT